AGGTACTTAGGTTAGTTTAGATTTAGTCATATGATGTTATCTTAAGGTACACAGAGTGTTAGACACTCTAGCGATGTTAGCACTAAGGATCCATACATTAAGTAACAGTAAGAAGTTTGTAAACTTAGCTGAAATAAATATGTTCCAAAGCAAAGTATAGACCAATTAGTCTCCTGTCCCAAATGTATAAACTGCTGTATAAACTTTTGACGAACCGCCTCACAAATACACCAGAATTTACCAACTATTTAGTTGAACCGACGTGATTGAGAAAAGGGTTCAGTATGATCGACGGTCTGCGAACGGTTCGGAGTTTGGCAGAGAAATGCTCAAAACTTACCATCTGAAAGAAAAGGCTTTTGACTCTGTTGAAACTTGAGTGATGTTGAGAACAATGGGCAACGCGAGAAAAGGTACGAGATTATACGAAACTTATGAAAAGTATCTATAAAAACGATACAATACAAGTTGACGAAAACACGTCGACAAGTAAAATCACGCTGGGAGAAGATACCATTTCACCAAAGCTATTTACTTAAGCGATGGAAGACACTTTTAAGAATCTACTATGGCAGAATAAAGGTATAAATAAAGAGAACAATATCGTCGGTTACATCCAAACAGGAAATCATGTAAGATAGTGCAAGTTGCCAGGTCCGCCAACCTCAGGCACCCCCAGGCCCTGTTTTGACCCTATTAGCTCCCATCAGCTGGGTTTAGCCTAAAATTAGCGACCTCATGACCTGCACGTTAGGTGGTGGTAAGTGCAGGTTTTACGCACCCGGCTAATGAGAGCTGATATGCTCGAAAGCGGTCCTGGGGGTGACTGAGGTTGGCGAATCTCGAAACTTGCACTATCTAATATAAAGGTATAAATATAGATGGAGTCTACCTAAGGCACCTGCGTTCTACGGATGATATCGTGGTTATTGGTGGCGACGCCAATGAGCTGAGACCCATGTTAGAAGAACTATAAGCAGCATCAAAGCAAATTGGACTGAAGATGAAATTGGGGAAGACATAAATACTGACCATTGAGGATGTTAGAGTCCGCATATAAAGGAAGGCTCTTCAGATTGTGAACGAATATGTATATTTGGGCCACACCATCCGACTGGGCAAACAAAATCAAGCAGCAGAAACGTTCCAAAATCCCACAGCATTCCTATTAATATTAAACGGCACGTATATGATTCCTGCATTCCGCCTGAAACTACTTCTGGTATGAAAACTGTAACTCTAACGGAGAAAAGTGCAGACCGTCCAAAAGACGCTGGATCGTGATATCAAACGACTGGCACAGCAAAAGTGGCGACGGGCAGGATCAATCCAATTCTAAATGGACAAAGAGGGTAATAGATTGGCGTCCCAAACCAAGGAAGGGAAGCGTGGGAAAGCCCCCAAAGCGATGGCGGGATGACTTCCAACGGATAGCGAGAAAATGAAGAATGCAGACAGGCCGAAACATAGAAGCGTGGAGATCATAGGAATAGACTTACATCCAGGAGTGGATGAACATAGTTTCAGAAGAAGAACAAAAAGATTTTTATTTTTCTTCTAATAAATTTTCCAAAAATGTATTAATCTTACGACGAGTTTATCCATTATTTTCGTTTAAAAGATTTCTGACAAATCCACCAAAATTGCTAGTGAAGTGATTTTTGTGCTTGTAGTTTAGAGCATGTGCTTTAGAACCAAATAGAAAGAAGAATTGAAAGTGTTCTAATTTGCTCTTGAGAAATTTTTGAAAAATGTCATGTTTGCCTCACTGCCAGTTTACCTACTCGCTATTCGAGTTGAAAAATTCCTGAATGAATTCCCAATAAGTTATTTTTTCACACTTTTAACTCGGAGTGATTGCTTTCGAACGACCAAAAAGATAAAGTGGAGAAGTTCTTTGTTTTCTTGAGAAAATATTATGTTTCTCTATTGGCGAGTTTACTATTTATGCAGATTGGAAAATTCCTAAACTATCTCAAAAATTATCCTAAAGCAATTGCTTTCGAATGCACTAAAAATTAAAAATGTCTATCAAATTTAAGGGAATTTAAAAATATATATATGTGCAGTTTTGGCGATCCTATTGCAGTTTTGGCGATAGGAGGAATGGGAAACTTGAACATTTGTTTCTTATTTCTTTAATATATTTGCCTATCTATAGAAATCGCGCATACCAAATATCAGCCCTCAAATCGCTATATTTAATTCGCAATAAATAATTAAAGTTGTGCCCGCAGGCTGTTCATTTGAAACAACACTAAACGCGCATGAATGGTTGTGACGTCATAGCGCTGATCGTTCGAGCAAAAGGCAATACAGGAATACGGCTTGCCGTTGAATTGCCTGGGTGTTTGACTGTTCACAATCCGTGCTGTGCTTTGTTAATAATGGAAGCAACTCAAAAACAATATTACAAATGCTGTATGGTGCCACTGTGTCCCTAGTACAACTTTTAAAACGCCAGATAAGCTATTTATTCGTATATCACAAGATAAAAGCAGGCGTTTAAAATGGTTAAAGTTTAAAAGTATACACAAGGATATTTCTGAGAAGACTACTGCCCATGCATGTGAAGATCATTTTATTGTAAATATAATAAACAGATTTGATTTTGTCTATTGTACCTATAACAGATAAATACTTTGAATTTGCATCTTGTTTTGCTTCTCGGCTGCATTATAGTAATAGCTAATAATCACCTCAAAAATAGTTAATTGCTATACTAGACGACAAAAAGAAACAATAAGTATCTGCCAAGAAAAAATCTTGGTTTTTCGTCGTCCATTTACTTCAAATACCTACTATATTCGTCATGCAATATGAATATTAACACATCTTTTTATGTAACTTTAATATTACTTATTTATTCTAGCTGGAAGAAGATCTGGATAACTAGTGTCAATGTTAAATTCAAGTTAATGGGAGGTCTGAAAAGAATGAAGGCTATTGTACTAGTAACTTGCACCCATCCTACTGCAGAAACTCCATAAGAATACCTTCCCGATCTGTAAATAACGTTTTTTTACTTATTACTTATTTTTGTATTTAACATTGTTATTCTGAGTAACTAAGGATATATTTAATCATTAACGCTCTATTTTGCATCAATGCCAAATCACTTGTAATGATGTAATTTAGCTTTTACTAGCATGAAAACAATTATTTCTTATTTTTGTTTTCACTTACATTTTGATCAATAGGTTCTATTTGAATTTTGAAAATTAGAGCCAGTAAAACCCCAATCTAACATTTTATAGATTTATATAAGTAAAACTATTGACTATTTTGCCTATGACTTAGATAGATAGATTAGCATTTATATAAGTAAAACTATTGACTAATAAGAGTAAAACTTTCGGTATTTTTAATGTAAGATGCCAGCCAGCATAAACATATCCACGAGTGGTAAAATGTCAGATTGTCCTTTTACAAAACCTGCATCAGTCATTTTGAAAAATTTTTCTTTTCTCCTAATACGCTTTAAGGGTAATATCAAGACTGAGGTTGCATATTTACATGGTCCGCACTTAAGCCACCACGGCCGACGATCCGCTTGACGTCACAATTGGTCCCAGCCGATGACGGTGTGTTACAAGAATGATTTGAATTATGCAGTTTTAGTTGCATATGTTAATTAGACAGAAATAAAGAATTACTTTGTTGGTCAACTGTGGTGTTTTTAATAGTATTAAGTTACGTTTGCGAGTAATATTTTTCAAATTTAATTTTTGTGCAAGTTGCCCATTATTGAAAAAGTTGAGAAATTTACGGTTTGTTTTTTTGTGAGGACTTTTGTAAGAATTCTACGGTAAAAAATTCCTCAAAAATTTTGCAGCAAAGCGATTTTGTTTTGTACTTGAGATTCGTAGAATTTCCATTCAAATAATGTAAAAAGCAGGGTGGAGAGATTTTCCGTTTTCCTCTAACAAATTTTTGAAAAAACCTTCTTGGTCCAACGGCCAGTTTATCGTCATTTTAGTTCAATGATACTTGAAAAATTCAAGTTACCAATGGAATTAGCATTTTTGTACTTAAAGGTAAATTAAAACCTAAAATTAACCCTTTTGTAAGGAGGTCATTTGGTTTTCTTTTCACGATGTTTTGAAGAAAAGGTTGTTAGTCTAACGCCCAGTTTACCAGCTTTTTTGGTAGAACATTTCCTTAAAAAATCCCAGAAAGCTGCCAATGACACAATTTTTCTCCGTATTCGGAGTTTTTCATGCGAATTAAATGAAAGCGCGATTTTGTCGGAATTTTCTAAAAAAATCCCGTTTGTCTAACGGCCAGTTACCTTGTTATGCTGCCTCAACAATTCGTGAAAAATGTTCAATTATACCTTGGAATACCTGATAGAGTCAACTGGCCGCGGATTTGGATTCAGCTGGTCAAAATACTACAGATTGAAAGTGTCTCAACACCAGATCAAAGAAAAAAATTGGTTGTGTGGCTATGCTATCCTCGTTATATGATTTTTCGTGATTTAAGAATGATGATTTCCTTTAATCAGTAAAATGGATTTTAGAGGAGCAAATTTTGATTTCGTGTGACCAGAGCAGGGTTCAAGAAAAAATGTGTAATTTTTAACATAGCCGAGAAGACTTTTTTTGCCAAAAATGTGTTTCTGGGTTTAAAAAATTCCAATTTGGTTATTTTCATAAATTGACGGAAAATATTAAGAGGGCAGAAAGATGCTCAATCCTACAGAGAATCAACTCTCACAAAAATAATCTAAATTGTTTAAGAACTATTAAAAAGGCAGGCTAAACAGTAAATTTTACCAACTAAAACCAGCAACTAACTACTGGGAATGATATTCGAGTTGCATTTTGTTAAATCTACCAGAGATTTACAAGTTGGATAGTATTTTCCGCATTAAGCCTTCCTGAGTTACGTACGGGGACCTTGGTCAGTTCCATCGTTGTTCGCTGAAATTGTGCAGCCCTAAATTTGCCGGTTTCCGGTGCACAGGTTTGCTGAATTTCGGGAATAATGGATCTGTTTAACCCACATTCTCCCCCTATATGCTGCTGCTGCTGCTACTCGAAACTGGATTAACGCCACTGAGTTTCCTACTAAAACCCTCCTATAATTTAGATTAAGCGTTTGGAATAAAATTTGATTTAGGCCATAATCGGCTTTCTACCTTTACGTTGCAGGCGACGTGAAGAATCGTTTGAAATAATCGCGTTGTTGTATACAGGGTTTCCGGTGCGTGCAGCTTAGACAATTTGTAATAGAAATAAAGAAAAGGAGGATAGAAGAAAAACTGTCTTTTAATGGATTAATATAAAGTCAAGGCAACGATGAATGCGGATACGAGAATGTAACATTTTCCTTCGATATATCTCCCCAGAAGCTAATGGCCTGGGGAGCCTATTGGTTAACAGTGCCTGTACGACGGCGAATCAGGCGTAGTATCCAAGTCTGCCAGATTATTTCAGCAATATAAGCAATGCCACATGGTTTATTAGCAGAGAATGATATAAACGTGGTGAAAATTCAGGGAAAAAAACAAAAAAAAAGCGTTAAATTTTGCACATCAGAAGGACACTGGAAGACATTAGCAATTTGTGAAACCGAGAGGCCAAATAAAGCGACCCGCGACAAATGAGGCTTCAATGTTTTCATTGCATTAAACAATAGGGGTTTTTCGAAAAAAAAGTGAAAAGTTGGCAAATGAAATATGGGAAAATATTGCACAGAGCGGCCAAGAACGTGAAAAGATACTTTTGCTAGAGACGATGGGCAGTCATTGCAGGATCAAAAAATGGTTTACCAGAGGAAGAAAGAGAATGAGCCTTGAATGAGCGAGTGGCCTTTAAATTATTGTTTGAATTTTTGCAATCGAACCAGAAATTACTGAGTTATGGACCAAAGAAACTATACTGAAGCTCATCGATCGCATTTAAATCAGGACATTTTTTTTCCTTGACCCTTAAAGGAACGATGCCTTCACAAACAGTCCAATACTAAAACGAAGCAAATTAAATGTTCTTTAAAAGTTTATTTCAGTTTTTGCAATCAGGCCCGAAATGAGTTTTAATCTGGTCATCTTCATTTGCTACAGCGCATCGTGAGTTAACATCCTCTTCATTGGCCTCTGGCCTTTAAGTTATGGAAGCCATATAGAAATTGCTTTGATAGCTGAAGAAAGAAAATCAAATTACATTGAATGCTTTGTTTCAGTTTTCTAAATTAGGCCCTAATAACTGAGTTATGAACAAAAGAATCTAGAATGAACCGCATGGAGTGACTTGAACAACTGGCTGGTTCCATTTACCCATGGGCTCTACAGGATCGATTCTATCCGATCGGTTCGGTTACGGTTCGGTACCGGATCGGTTCTTCCAAATCAAGTCGGTGTATTTTAGTTTGAATCGGTTTCGGTTGGCTTTTGTCTTGGTTCAAGACTTTTTGTTTATAATACATTCAATTCAGGCAGGCAAATTTGCTCCTTTTGGCGAACCAATAGTTCTCACGGATTCTATGTAAAGTTGATTCTATTCCGATGTGTCTAGCTTCATCGTGGCACAATTGACAAATTAGCATTCGTGCTGCTAGTGGTACAACCCATGCTTTCAAACCATTGTCTAGTTTCCTATATAATTTATTATCTCTGAATTCGTATTCCTTAAAATATTGTTCAGTCTCTGTCCCTGTCCTTTAATTTTTCTCTCAAAATATGTATAATTCTAATAATTTGCTTGTCTTGTAATTGAGCTGCCAAAATCCAGCCCACTTCGATCAGATCTATTTGGAGTACAGATTTTTCATTGAGGATGCGATACAATCGGACAACTTGCATAATAAATCAAAGCATTGCCCTTTAAAATCCATCGAAATATTACCAAGACAAATTGATTAAGAGCACAGTCACATATACCAATTAAATTTATAAATTGTTTCTCAGAGAGCAATAAGCGCTGAAACGACAATCAATTTTTTCGCTTAATCATCACTATGTGTTCCTGACTAATAAAGTCTGGTTCAACCAATAAATCATAATTTAGATATTCGCCTTGAATTACAATAGCGTTTACTCTAAGGCTGGAACACCCTGTATAGTTAAATATACTTCCCAAACTCATCGGCTATTCATGGAATTGCCCATAAAACTACATAAAGCACACTTACCGAGTCATTAGCTAAAATCCCAGTTTTTTTTGCTACGGAACACTTTATAATGGTGTTCGAACTACCTGAGTCTAATATAGGGGTGTGCTAAACGGTTATTTTTCTGTAACAACGTTCCAACACCAAGGTTACAACGTTCCAGTTTCACCCTGGCAATAGGTTTCAAAAGGCGGTTCCAAAAGGAACATGTTACTTTTTAATTTTTTCCTTAAAAATACAGAATGATGATAGTAGAAATAGTGATGATATATAATGATTTCCTTTACTAAAAACATAATTCATAACATTAAAAAACTTAAAATAAAATAACTAAACTTAAAATAAAATATTCTAAAATCATAAACAAAACACGGGTCAGAAGTAACTACTTAAAGATCAAAAAACCTATTAATAAACTAGAGTTTCTTAATGGGTTTTTTATTAATTTAGGTTAATTATTAAAATATACGGTTTATATCCGAAAATGCTTAAAGTCTCATTTTCTTTTAAAAATGAATTCACATTTAAGAATAACATTTTTTGCAGAAGCTTTTTACTGATTCTAGTTCTTTGTGCGTTTATGATAGCACCTACTTTAGAAAATAATCTCTCGCATTTCATTTCACAATAACATTAAATAATCCACAATAGCAACAAACAGAAATGTATTTTTGGCAAACCTGGACGAAGTGTTTCTCGAGTTAATTTCGGTACCACCAAAAAATTATTTTTAAAAATTATGTCGACCTTCGAAACGTTTGTTATTTTACATTTCAACTGTGATGGAATTTATGTCTTGGACTCTTAGTTTGCTCATAGCTCATATGCAAGTGTACGTTGTGCTTAATTTGCTGGTAATGGACATATAACTCCCGAGCTAAGTTTCTTGCAGGAAATTTATTTTTTTAAGATTTACTACAAAATGTCAGAAAACTAAATACTTATAGACTAAAAATGCTGAATTATATAATCGCAGCAACTAAACAAATTTTCGCTGATCTGAACGACTATGGTTCTTGGAGAGCTGAACAGTAATTCTTATAAACGAAAAGCGATAC